AAGTGATGGAGAGGGTCCCTTTTCCTCCAGGAGGGTGAAACTCGCTCAGTCCCCACTTTATCGTCTGCGTAGTGTTAGACCAAGGTGTTTGCTCAGATATTTTCACTTTGAGAAATGACTGCAGTGAGGTGAAGGAGATTTACTGGAGGTTATTTAACACCCTCAAGCTTTGTTGTTAATTTCTGTCAGATCCTTTAAATATACATAATTGCTGAGTCTAAATGATGAATGGTGGCGAACAAGTAAACAGGAGACAGAATCCACAAATACCCCAGTGTTAATTTATTTTCTAAGCCAGGAAGATGGGGAAGATGATACTTCTGTGTCACGCTTCAGCAAAACCCTAGTTAACATTCCGGAATCCTCTTCCTCTGTCTACAGTAAGTATAGCATTCACCCTGTATGATGTGGGCAAAGAGAAGAGAATCCCTGCTGTGGTGTCCAGCAGCTTATTGCAAGGGAAAGGGTCAGGAAAGCCGGAACCATACTTCTTGTCTTACTTTTCTGTGGCTGCAGACGTATCTTTGCAGCAATAGGAGGTGGGTCCAGCACCAGCAAGCTTGGAGCACTTTATGGTGGCAGACGAATTGATTTGCAAGGCAGAAGATTGCCTGCTCATTTTGTCTGAACAATGTAGTTGGCTAGACTTTGCTAATGCGTATGCCTGTACCCCTTGTATTAAAGAAACCTTGTACTGAGCATATATATATATCAGGGTTCAAAAAGGATTCAGTAATTCATTGACAGATATTACAGCTCTTTTTTATGCACCCAGAGCGAGAGCAGAAAGACGTCAGAAAGGTATTATGAGAGTGAGCGTTTCTCTGAAATGCTATTTATATTTCATTGAATTGGCTGAAAAGGACTGCAGAAGGCCAATAATGAGCAAGGGAAGCAGGCAGGCAGGCAGCCATCCCACCGCGCACAATGGATGGTGCCTTGATGGATGATTTAATGACTCCAACGTGTGCAGAGGGACCGGAGACCAGGTGGGAATATTCTGTGTTCAGAGCGCAGCTTGAGTGAGGAATAAGCGTGATGCAGTGCCTGCGTTCTCCCCCTCTTGCACTCTGACGGTTCTTGTGCCCCTGGTATTGATTCTCATGGGGCCATTTCTTGTTGTGAAGGCAGGAGTCATACCTGCTTTCTCGAGGTTCAGTTCTCCTTCGGGATGCATTAACTCATCTGATTTGCATCAAGCCCCAGTCGCTCACATTACCACATCCCTCAGGAAGGAGCCTGAACAAGCGCTGGTGTGTTTAACTGAGTGTTTTCCCTAATACCATCATTTCTGGAATGGGCCAGGAAAAAATAGCTCTGAGTCTGAAGCTGGGAAGAGATAAATCTGGGGGATGCTCAGCCAGGGTAAGGAAGCAGAAAGAAGGAAGAAAGGTTTTAAGAGGCATGTGTCTCCTTTACAGTGAGGTGGCTATGAACAGTGGGAATTAAAACCAGCTGCCCGTGTCGTCTTCTCATATATATGCAAGGCTAAGCCACCAATGCCAGACATCAGCATAAAATCTGCTGCGAATGAAGAGGCAGACAAGTGCAAATAAGCCCTCCATGAATTTTTAGTGGTAGATCTGAAAGACGATGTGTCAAGGGCTGACCTCATGCCCACGTTGGCTTGTCTGTGTAAAACCAGATTATCAGTGAGGTCAGTGCAATCTTTACTGACTGTAACCTCAATCTCAGCTTGTGTGACTTAGTGGATATAGAGTCCTCCGAGTGCTTTCAGTACCTTCATACAGCCCGACTTCCCCATAGAACATGAGAACTGTACATGGCTGGCTGACCAGCCACTTGCCTAATTAATATCTGAAATACCAGCTTGCAGTGCCTTTGCATATTCATCTGTGGATGATGGATGCTATCTCTGCAGGGTCATTTTGCTGATGGAAACTGTCCAGCTCACCTGCAGGTCTTTTATTAGCAAAGCAAATCAGTGAAACGTCTCTTTGGAAAGAAGGAAAAATCCCTGCCCTGTGATTGAATGGTGAAGTGCCATCAACAACACGTATGTTGTACAGGACCTGTTTGTGAGCACAGAAGTCTCAAGTGAGAGCCTCAAACAAGATGTTTAAATAATCTTGCGAACTTTGGTGTGTGCTAAAAATGCCTCCAGTGACATTTACCACTGTTCCCGACCCCAAACCCTGGGAATAATTATCTTTTATTGGCACATGTTCTGTGTTGGGATGAAGAGGCTGTCAAGCTGCATTTCTTTTATTTGCATTACAGGAGGAAAGATCAAACGGAACAGACGTAATCAAACATTTATTCTTCTCCCCCTTTGAAGTCGTGCTGCTCCCCTTGTAAACACTTAGAACCCGACAACATCTGGGGCAAACTTTTCCCCCTCCAACTCGGCTTCAATCAGCACTAAACCGGGAACCTAATAGGGGGTTATATTTCTGACAAACCCAATGCCATAGCAATAGCTCTGCAGGGATCGATGCAGCAGACCGGATTTTGGCTTGCCTGGCAGGCTACTAGCTATTTATGGCAAGGCAATAATGGGAGAAAAACACCATCCCGCTGAGTTGTGAGTCGGTAACGCTGGGCTCTTACTTCTTTGAGATTTAAATGAGTACCCAAACTGCAGGGCATTGCAGAGCCCTTCCCAGCCTTCCTGGCTTGTAGTTACAGCTGGCTCTGAGTGACTGCTATCTAAGGGCTTCTAACTAAGCCTTTCTAATTAGCCCTTTCTCAGTCACCACACCCTCTTGCTCCTTAATTGCCAGAGTTGTTCCTTTTGTCTAGGTAACAGTGGGAATTAGGTCGTCTTTAGAACTGAGAAGGCCCACAACTGTGCTCAGACGAACTGCAGCCTGCGTTGGTAAGGTTACTTCTGATCTGCACACTGTATGAACACAGCAGCCCCGTCTGGTTTTCTGCACTAGAACCAATCAGCTAAGGAAGTGTACTGCATTGCCAATAATCCTAGAATCATTCCGGTTGGAAAGGCCTTTAAGATCATCAAATCCAACCATTAACCCACCCTTGCCAAGTCCACCACTAAGCCATATAAATCACTCTCTGGCTCCATGTGGTCAGTAGAGAGGACGCAGTTCACCTGATCTCTGCTTTGCCGAAAGCCATCTTTAGTAGAAAATCCAAAGCCGCCTCCTTTTGCCAACCGTAACACCAGACCTCTTGCCTTCCCAGAGGTGCACAACCTGCCATGCACAGGCATGCAAGGTGATCCAGCTGTGTTTTCCATGGGTTCCTTATTTGAAAGCCCTAAGAGTTGTTTGTCCTACCTAAAACTAAAGTGAGTCGTGTCAGTGATTTACGTTGCCAAGAGCACAGATCTCAACAGCTCTTGCAAGCTGGAGCAGTTAATTTCATTAAAGGTGGCAGAATGAAGGATAATCATCTCAGTTACAGCTGGGCAATAGCCTGGAACAGATTTTCAGCTATGAATGTAGGAAAATACTGGTTCAAAATGCTTTCCCTGCAGCTCTGAATGACAATGAGACGAAGAGTCTGAAATAGATGTAGAACTTGAACTGCAAGCAGCAACTGATAAGGAAACTGGGGCAGAGGGAATGACTCAGTTGGCTGTGGTGCAGTAGCAAATCCACATGGGGCTTTGGAAATGTTCATCCATGCCAGTGATAATGCACCAACCGCAGAGATGATTATGACAGTCGGAGAAATTCAGAGAGCAGTAATGAAAAATAACCGATGCCACGAGCCAGTGGGAACATCAGAGTCAAAGGGCACAAAGGACAGAAAATGAAAGGAAGAAAAGGGACTGAGAGGATCTCTGATCTAAAGGCTTCTTCCTGCAGGTTTTATCTCTCCAGACGCAGAAATACAAGGCTTATGACTATTCCCCTCAGAACTGAACAACACGTCAAAGACGAGAGAGGGGGAAAGGGAGAGAATGTCTTCCAAGGTAACAGTTAATCGTCATAAAAACGCGTGCATGAATGTGACAAAGGAAAAAGCAACATCTATCCTAAAAATAAGTATGTAACAGAAATCCAACCCAGTAGGAATAAATAAATAACAGTGTGCAGTGGGCAGAATAGGGTAGAGAAATACACACTGACAGCGGATCTCCTTTCATAAAATGACTATCCCATATTTCAAGAGAGTGTCTCCCTTTTTCAACCAAGTGGTCCCTAATCCTGACAGATGACATATTGATGCTTATGCATCTTGTTCTGGGGCTTCCTGTGAGTCTTTTCTGCCCTCTTTTTGGTGGTTTTGTTCAATGTATTTGCTATACACATAAACAGGTCTTTAGGGACTAATTATAGAAAGCAGTGTTGAGAACTCCATCCTCACATCTCACTCACTTCATACTTTTAGTGGCAGTCACATGGGAGTGTCCCCTTTGGAAAATGGTGACTCTTAAATTGTGTTTTAAACCTTTATTCAGAAAATCAGATATCCTGACTTGGTCCCATTGCCATCTATCAAGGGCAGCAATGGCAGAGGCTGACACTTTACCTGCCCCCTGGTGTATTTGTCACCACTGCCCAAGCCAGCACACATTAGGTGTCAGGAGCTAATATGGAAGTACAAGAAATGGAGGAGTGTTGTTAAGTCCTTCAAACCTCAGCAACCAAACTCCTCCTCTTGGGATGAGCCATTGGGGCTGTGTTTGTTCACTAGCTGCCCTGCCGCTGTCTCCTCTGCCTACATGGAAATTCAGGTTAATTCTGCTCTGCTGCTTCTGCTTTGCCTTGGGGTTTTGGCAGCCACACACGTGTGCCAGTTTCTACCAGCTCTGCCTCAACTGAGAGAGGTTTGAAGGTGCAGCCGAAGAGTTCGGGTTGGGAGTTACCGAGTGGGGCACGTCATGGTCCCTCTGTTCTCTTATTTATGTGTTTATTCTCAGCAGCCCAAATTCAGTTGACCCCTTGTCTTCCCTCTGGCAGTGTACAACTGGCCTGTGTGTCTGCAGAGCTGGGGCACTGCCAGGCCACAAAGGGCTTCCCAGCTGCAAGAGGTGGTGTCCTCTCCATACCTCTGGCTCCACGTGGTCCTCACCCCCTCTTCAGAAGGGACACATGGGCACCCAGAGAGAGACAGAATGCTGACTGCTGCCACACTCCTGATTCCTAGGTAAGCAGCACCCCCGGAGTCACCCTTGTCCCGGGTCTGGCTTAGATGTTGTACACAAGCCTGATGGAAGCATTAATGATCACATCCCTTCCTTTGGGACCAATCTAATGTGGTTTTGCCTCCCGTTAACATCATTCGTGCACTTGCTAATAATAAGCAACATCATCGTGTACTCCACTGCTGTACCATAGTGGCTTTAGGTCTTACTGTCTTAGGGACTTGGAAGTAATACGAAATCTACTTGGCAAAAGGCTTGCTATCTGATTTGAGTGGGAAGGAGGAAGATTTAACACCGGGAGGGGGGAGTGTCACCTTCCCAGCTGGCCTCTGTACCTACACATGCAAATGCTGCATTTGTCTGACCAGACTGCATATTTTAAAAGCTTTGGGGTTTTTCTTTGGCTGGTTTAAGAGCTTGGCTAATGCAGAAGGTACAGCTCCGCATTACACACGAGCCTGGGTTATTTCACCACTCTTTCCTAGGCCTGAAATGAAAGAAAATACCAGAGCTGATTACAGGCTCGAGCTGGATGCTGCACAGGTTTACATGCCTGGGAGCAGCTTAGGATCTATCTATGTACTTCGTAAGTGTCGTTGTTTAGATTTGTATTTTGCTATAGATATGAAGTGGAAACCATTCCAAAGACCTCTCTGCTAGGAAGATTTTTTGCTTGCCTATTATTAGCTTTTGCAGCAAGCACTCCTGAGCCAATATGCAGAGTTTTAAAGGACTTCAAAATGTCATTGGGAACCAAGTGATATGTGTGTTAAAAAGGGTTTACTGGAGCTGCAGTCACTGTAGCACAGAGTCTTTTTATAGCAAGTTTTTACAGCGTTAAGAAAAACATCCTGCAGATTTCAGTAGGATTGCCAGATGGGTAAGGTACTTTGCACTATGATTTTTGTTTATCTGCTATTAACAGAAAAGGAACCCAGCATCGCTAGCTATAGGGAGGATGATAAGCAGGAACAGGGCTGCAGAATTCAGGCAACAGCTCTTACCTCTATTTTGGGTTGTGTTTTGTTTTTTTTTCTTCTTCTTCTTTTTTAGAAGAAAAACATAGATTTGAAAGCCAACGGCTTGGTTTAGAGAATGGAAATCTGGAGTGGTTTGTTTTCACATTGAAGCTTTTAACAGATTGGGGTTCTTTTTCACCCCAGATCCACTGGATTATGTTATCATTATCGCTAGGCAAATCCTGCTTATCAAAGTTGGGCAAATGTTCAGGACTGTCCTTCAAAATACCACAGGTCAGGCTCCCAAAGAAAAGAAGTGCTTTGCAGAAGCTGCCTTAAACACCGAAGCTGGCCTGATCCCTGAGTGGTCATGTTGATACGCAGGAATGGCAGGGAATCGCTGGTTTTAGTGCATCCCCTCTATTTCCCTTTTCGATACCCTTTACGAGTCTCCTTTATTTATGCTTGGGAATCATTTGGGGATGGGGGATGAGGCAGCTTCCTCATTGCAACCCATGTAAGGAGCGGAGAGGAGAGCAGCCACTGCTCGCTGGGGGAGGTAAAAGACTTGCCCAGGGTACACAAGGCGGCAGAGGGGGGCCTTGGTTTGTCCCTCCAATGCCTCAGTCCTACATCGCACCCTTACACCCATCCTTGCATGCACAGCGCAGACTGCTCCCCCTCTGAAGCCATGTCACTTAAACATGCTCTACTCTGCTGCTGCTCCAGGCTGCGGAGCGACTGGGTCCTGCCTTACCGGGGCCGGGGAGGGGAACAGCAGGGAGAGGGAAGCCTTTGGTTGTTGTGCGCGCCGGGGCAGGGGAAGCTCCGGGGTCTGCGAGCCTCGCGGGCAGCAGGAGAATGCGAGGAGCCCCGAGTCCCTTCCCCGCCGAGGCTCAGTCCCCAGCGGCCTCTTTCAGCTTTCCCCCGGGTCCTCCCCAGCGGAAGCCCCGCTTGGGAGCTCACAGCAGCAGCCGGAGATGGAGGAGGGCAGAGGCGGGACGGCGGCGGGGAGGAGGGTCCCGGCGCTGGTTCCCGTTCCCCTTTGCAGCAGGAGCTGCTGGGGGAGTGTCTCGCGTTGTTAATGCTCCGCAAACCGCGGCGGTTTCAGGTCCTCAGCCGTCCGCTGCCACCGCGGGAGACACGGGAGCGCCGAGCGCGGCTCTTCCTGCAGCCCTCTTGGTCCCCCCCAGGCCAGCAGGTTGGGAAGAGATGTAAAGGGGGCAATGGGGAGGAGGGAGGTGAGCACAGAGCAGCCCGGGGGCACCCTCACAGCCTGGTCCTGGGGTGCACAGGTCTACGGGACTCGCTGGGTTGTGGTGGGTGCCTGCGCAGCCGCCCCGAATGACCCGAGAGGGGCTGAGGGGCGTGCGAAGGGCATGGGCTGGGTGAGCACCCTGCGATGTGCGAGCATGGGAACCTCCATGCGCGCCATGAGAGAGCAGTCATGTGTGTCCCCGCCTGGGAAGCAGTCCCTGTATTACATGTAGCTGCATGGGCACGCACATCTCCATTCACTTAATGAGACAAGGATGCAGGATGCTCCCTGAGCAATTAGGGAATACGTGTGCCCTTTCCCACATGATTTCTTCCTTTTTTCCTTCCTTAGGATGAGGGTGTCCAGGCAGACATCTCTTAATTTATTTTGCCTCCTCTGGCTCCTGCTTCTGCTGAAGGCTGCCTCTTCCTCCCCTCTCCTCCGTGGAAATGACCCACCACCCTCTTCGCTCCCCTCGGGGCTGTACAAAGGACACACCTGCATTGGTATGTATTCGGGTTCTGTTTGCCTGGTGGACTAGTTCATTCGTTACTCCACTGGTGAGCTGAGGGCTGCGGTGCACATCATAAATCACTCCTTTATCTATGTCAACAGCTGTACTGCACAGCGCTCGTAGTCTTTGGCGAAATAACCACTGAAGGTTTTGCAAGGCCACGTGAGGTCTGGAGTTATTTTATGATTTTGTTTGTGAGTGGCTGCTTCCCAAAGTTCATGGTTTTGCTCTGCAGGGAATGGCTTCTTGCAAAGCTGGCTGCAACGTCTATAGGGCTGGGACCTGGAAACAAGGCGTTGTGGGGTCCTGGTGTTTGTTAGTGTTTGTGATGCAGCGTGGTTAGTTGCAGGAAGGGTTAGGGTTCCACCAACTTCCCTGAGGCTCACCCAGGGTCTCTTCGTTGATTTCATTGCTTGGGAAACTCCTTAAGCACAGTTGGGCCGTACTCAGGCCAGGAGGCTTTGTGGTCTGGATGGTTGTGTCTGGATAGCCAAGTTGCAAAGGCTGTTTCCTCATATCTCCTGTCCTCCTCTTGAGTGCACGCGTCTGCAAACAAAACAAGTGTTTTGGCCGCCCCCTTCTCGTGTGACTGTAGTGGCTGTGGTGATCTCCAGCACAGCTATAGCTGGAGGTATCCCATAACCTCTGCTAGTGAAGTGATTCCCCAGTAATACTGAAGTCAACATGAACTGTGCATATCTCTGCACCAGAAATGCCCTTTTAGTTAGACTAGCTTATATTTTGTATGTAAGCAAGTATTAACAATGAATATGTCTTATGCATTAAGATCAAAAGTCTTATTTCGTCTTCTTTTAGTTTTCCAGGGCACTTCCATTCTGTAAATAGAAACCCTGGTTCTCCATGTTTCTGCCCTGGTTCTCCATGTTTCTGCCCTGGTTCTCCATGTTTCAGAAGGCAATGCAGTTTCTCTCAGCCCCAGATTATTTTCGGTGTGGCTCAAGGACCGCAGTTGGAAATAACCCTCCTAAGCTCGATAAACCCCTGGTTTCGCCTCACTTCTGCGCCATTCCCAGTGCCCCACAGATTCTGGCACGGGCGAGGCAGGGTGAGCGAGCGCAGGGTGAAGCTGGGGTGATGAGGTTTGTGCAGCCCTCGCAGGGCTCAGCCGCCGGCCAGAAAACGAGGGCAAGCAGCGAAAAGCAGAAATGGGTGTCAGGGACCGGCCTTGCTGGGGCCAGCGGCCGAGCGGCTGCCAGAGCCGGAGGGAAGTGGTGGGTTCCGATGGCAATGTCTTTGGCAGCTGTTTGGAAGGCAGCCGGAACCGCAGCCTGTGGGATTTTACACTGGTGTGTTTTGAACGCTGCGTGTGAGCGTTGGCTGCCCTTCCTGTCCTATTGATCCAGCCAGGCTCTGCGCTCCTAAAGCAGCAGCACATGGCATTGAAGTTGCCATGCATAGAAAAAGGTGTGATTTTTTTAGGGCACTTTGCTGTTTAAGGGTGTGATACTGGATCTTCGGACAAACCGGAGCCTGATTCTACTTACCGTGCTGCATGCAGACCTGGAGAGGAGCTGAGTGATGGCAGGGGTGTAACTGCTGGGCAAAGCTGACAGATTCAGATTTAAGCAGCTGATCTGCTTTATGAATGTGAAGATCCGAATAAAAACAGGCGGGGGGCCTGTGCTCACATGGGATTATTTATTTCTAACAGCAAGTATGGGTGGGATGGGCGGTATCATGTATAGGGTGGAAGTGGAGGGAACTGTTTCAGCATCACCTCTAGATCACCAATTAGCACTGAGCTCTTTATCCACTCTTCCCATTCCCCAGAGCTGCCCGCTCTTCTGATTTCCTCCATTCCTGTACCAAATCCCACCAGACTGTGGGTCCCATTGCTGGGGCCACCGAGCATCTCCCTGGGATATCTGTTCAGTGAGGAGAAACCAAAACCCTGCCTCCCTCCCCTGTTGCTCTCTCTGCAAGCTAAAAGCATTCACATGAGCTTGACTCAGGACCAAAACAGGCTGTTCACACCTCTGTAAGCTGCAAGCTGAAAACAGAGTGTGCAGAGCACTGAAACCACATGGGCTGGGCCTGGAAGGGGGGGCTGGTGACAAGCAGGCAGGCTGCTGTCTGTGAGCCCAGGCAGCCTCCTCTGGGCTGTCATAGGATCCCAGCCTGGTTTGGGTTGAAGGGACCTTAAAGCTCCTCCAGCTCCAACCCCTGCCACGGGCAGGGACCCCTTCCACTGGAGCAGCTTGCTCCAAGCCCCTGTGTCCAACCTGGCCTTGAACACTGCCAGGGATGGGGCAGCCACAGCTTCTCTGGGCACCCTGTGCCAGCGCCTCAGCACCCTCACAGGGAAGAGCTTCTGCCTAAGAGCTCATCTCAGTCTCCCCTCGGGCAGGTTAAAGCCATTCCCCTTGGCCTGTCCCTACATCCCTTGTCCCAAGCCCCTCTCCAGGTTTCCTGCAGCCCCTTCAGGCACTGGAGCTGCTCTCAGGTCTCCCCTTCAGGAGCCTTCTCTTCTCCAGGCTGCCCCAGCCCAGCTCTCTCAGCCTGGCTCCAGAGCAGAGCTGCTCCAGCCCTCACAGCATCCCCATGGCATCCCCATGGCCTCATTCAAGCAAGTTCACCTCCCTCTTCTGTTCACTGATGGGCTGCTCTCTTGACTGACTCCTGAAGACACTGACAAGCCATCTGTGTCTCTTCCTTTTCACAAGCAGGAAAGTGAAAGCCCTGATTTGGTGCCCAGCCCCTTAGGAGCAGGAATTAAGCCGCGATCAGCTTTCTCTGTAGGAGGAAGATTGTGATTTCCTTTCAACAGCTTGACCCCAGCCCCTGCTAGCTCAGTCTGCCATCTGGGAAGGCACTGGGAGAGAGCCATGAGAGCTTCCTCTGGGTCTTCTTGGCCTTACAGATTGAGGCAGTGTTTTTAACAGGCGAAGTGACTGCTGCCAAATACACAGGAGCTTTCCTTGAAGCAGTGGGTTTTTCCATGCAAGTTAAATGTGTGCTCAGGTGTCGCATCTGTCAAAGTGATTTGCTTCTCTTTCTCTGAGGGAGATGGGGTGGCTGCACATTGAACAGTCACTTCTGAGCACTCCTCTGTGAGTACCACCTGCATGGCCAAGATTGCTCTGTTGCTGGCTCAGGTCAGTCAGAAAATGGTTGCTCGTTCAATAGCAAAATCAATACAAGATTTCTCATTAAGCTTTTCCATGGAAAGTATCACACTTCTTGAAGAAATAATAGGTAGAAATCATATGACAGGGATGTGAAACACAGCTTGAATGCGATATGACTTGGTCGCTTCTTTCTTCTGTTACCCTTGCTAGCAGCGCTCCCTGGGTAGGCACCATCTGCACCAGTAGACTCTGGATATACTGGGAAAGGAACTGATGCCTCAAGGGACTCCCCTGTCCTTAGCACATCTGACAAATGTATTTTGGGTAGGAACCTCTATGCCTATATAGGGAATAGGGCTGGAGGAGAGGAGTGTGCATGCAGGGAGCTGCCACAGCACGCTGAACCATTCAAAGGACTCATAGGGGAGGCTGGCCAAAACATCTCTGCTTGCAGATTGTTGCTTGTCTAAAAGAGAAGGTGACGTTTTTACAGCCACGTTCATTGTGCTGGGTAACGTTTAGACTGGAATTTTCACCAGCCTCGGGAACTGCAGAAAAAATCACATCGTTTTTGCTGCGTTTTCTTGGGAAAGTCGACAGCTTCATCCAGAGAAAGCCTTTTAATAATGGACTTGGTGTGAAAAGAAAGCGTTTGGAAAGTGTCCCCACCTGAAATGGGACTTGTGCCGACTGCCTTTTAGAATCAGGGGAAAGAGGGGGAAAGGCCCTGATGATGATTTTTCTGGCTGTAGTACACCTGAGCAGTTCCTAACCATCTCCAACCTGCTCTTGAACAGTACCTGGTCTTTCTAGAAGAATTTTCCCAGCATCTGATGGTCTCCTTTCTCCAGCAGTGTTTCCTGCCTCCCCAGGCTGGAAAAATCCCTCCCTACCCCCATTCTGCAGACCTTCCTCTGGGCCTCATTGCTTGTGATATACGCAAAGACCCATGAAGATGCTTTTTCTCGTGTAAGGATGGGGAGGTTTTGCTCTGTGCACTGGCTTGGGAGCAAAATGCTCAGTCTGGCTTTTGTTTCTGGCAGTACGGTTGAAGGGATTTATTCAGGATGAGACCTAGAAACCCTTTTGCTGGGTGCACCCTGTCTGTTTCAGTGCAGCATCCTGAGAACAAGAAGCTGTGTGTTTTTCTCTCAGAAATGAAGTATGAATGAGCCCTTTAGATCCTCTGGTCTTTGACTTTCCCCATTGTCCTGGTTTGGGCTGGAATTGAGCTTTCTTCCCAGCAGCTGGTGCAGGGCTGTGTTTTGGCTTTAGCCTGAGAGCAGCACTGATAACACACCGATGGTTTAGTTGTTGCTCAGTAGCACTCACCCTGACCAAGGACTCTTCAGTCTCTCATGCTCTGCCAGTGAGGAGGGACACAAGAAGCCAGGAAGGAGCGGAGCCAGGACACCTGACCCAAACTGGACAGAGGGCTATTCCATACTATGGCTCAGTATAGAAACTGGGGGGAGTTGGCCAGGAGCTGACAATCACTGCTCAGGAATGAGCTGTGCATAGGTCAGCGGGTCATGAGCAAGTGTATTGTGCATCAGTTGAGGAAAATGCTGCCTGTTTTACAGGGCAAACGAGGTTTTACTGAAGTTAATGTTAAGGTACGCAGAGACAGTGCAGTAAAACCGGTAACTGTTGACACTAGTGATAATCATAGGGTCATACATAAAGACAGTGCAGTAAAACTGGTGACTGTTGACACTAGTGATGTTTCATCGGAGCTAAGGTCATGCTCTTTTTTAGTAGTAGCTTTTTTTCTGCTATTTCTGATTAATTTTTAAAGGTTTTATTCCTTACCCCCCGTCACCCTGAATTACAAGAGAACCCTGAAAGGGTCTTTTCAAAATGTCCTGCTCCCTAGCAAAAGAGACTTCATCCAAAACCATCT